CACAAAAAGAAGACAAAATATACAGAAGATTTAAACGAAATATTGTTTTTCTCTCCCTAAACAGTGTCTTGTGTCGCGACACGTAGCAAAACTTGGCGATGGGCTGCAGTGGCAGTCCAAGCAGAACATTTGCCTCACTTTTGCACAGGAACGATAGTCCACGTCTACACGCTATATCAAAAATTAATGGGAGCATTGAATGGAATTTTGGCCAGATGATTGGTCATGAAAAGAAGACAAACTAGACCGAAGATTTAAACGAAATATTGTTTTCTCTCCCTAAGAAGTGTCTTGTGTTGCGACACGGAGAACAACTTGGCGATGGGCTGCAGTGGCAGTCCAAACAGAACATTTGCCTCACTTTTACACAGGAACGATAGTCCAAGACGACATGCTATCTCAAAAATTAATTGGAGCATGGAATTGAATTTTGGCCAGATGATTGGTCACAAAAAAAAGACAAAATATACCGAAGATTTAAACGAAATATTGTTTTTCTCTTCCTAAACAGTGTCTTGTGTCGCGACACGTAGCAAAACTTGGCGATGGGCTGCAGTGGCAGTCCAAGCAGAACATTTGCCTCACTTTTGCACAGGAACGATAGTGCAAGAGGAAATGCTATCTCAAAATTAAATGGAGCATGGAATTGAATTTTGGCCAGATGATTGGTCACGAAAAAGAAGACAAAATATACAGAAGATTTAAATGAAATTTTGGTTTTCTCTCCCTAAACAGTGTCTTGTATCGCAACACGTAGCAAAACTTGGCGATGGGCTGCTTTTGCAGTCAAAACAGAACATTTGCCTCACTTTTGCACAGGAACGATAGTGCAAAAGGACATGCTATCTCAAAAATTAATTGGAGCATGGAATTGAATTTTGGCCAGATGATTGGTCATCAGAAGAAGACAAACTAGACCGAAGATTTAAACGAAATAGGTTTTTCTCTCCCTAAAAAGTGTCTTGTGTCGCGACACGGAGAACAACTTGGCGATGGGCTGCAGTGGCAGTCCAAACAGAACATTTGCCTTACTTTTGCACAGGAACGATAGTGCAATAGGACATGCTATCTCAAAAATTAATTGGAGCATGGAATTGAATTTGGCCAGATGATTGGTCACGAAAAGAAGACAAAATATACCGAAGATTTAAACGAAATATGGTTTTTCTCTCCCTAAACAGTGTCTTGTGTCGCGACCCGTAGCAAAACTTGGCGATGGGCTGCAGTGGCAGTCCAAGCAGAACATTTGCCTCACTTTGCACAGGAACGATAGTGCAAAAGGACATGCTATCTCAAAAATTAATTGGAGCATGGAATTGAATTTTGGCCAGATGATTGTTCATCAAAAGAAGACAAACTAAACCGAAGATTTAAACGAACTACTGTTTTTCTCTCCCTAAAAAGTGTCTTGTGTCGCGACACGGAGAACAACTTGCGATGGGCTGCAGTGGCAGTCCAAACAGAAAATTTGCCTCACTTTTGCACAGGAACGATAGTCCAAGTCTACGCGCTATCTCAAAAATAATTAGAGCATTGAAATGAATTTTGGCCAGATGATTGGTCATCAGAAGAAGACAAACTAGACCGAAGATTTAAACGAAATATGGTTTTTCTCTCCCTAAAAAGTGTCTGTGTTGCGACACGGAGAACAACTTGGCGATGGGCTGCAGTGGCAGTCCAAACAGAACATTTGCCTCACTTTACACAGGAACGATAGTCCAAGACGACATGCTATCTCAAAAATTAATTGGAGCATGGAATTGAATTTGGCCAGATGATTGGTCACAAAAAGAAGACAAAATATACCGAAGATTTAAACGAAATAGGTTTTTCTCTCCCTAAACAGTGTCTTGTGTCGCGACACGTAGCAAAACTTGGCGATGGGCTGCAGTGGCAGTCCAAGCAGAACATTTGCCTCACTTCTGCACAGGAACGATAGTCCACGTCTACACGCTATATCAAAAATTAATGGGAGCATTGAATGGAATTTTGGCCAGATGATTGGTCATGAAAAGAAGACAAACTAGACCGAAGATTTAAACGAAATATTGTTTTCTCTCCCTAAGAAGTGTCTTGTGTTGCGACACGGAGAACAACTTGGCGATGGGCTGCAGTGGCAGTCCAAACAGAACATTTGCCTCACTTTTACACAGGAACGATAGTCCAAGACGACATGCTATCTCAAAAATTAATGGAGCATGGAATTGAATTTTGGCCAGATGATTGGTCACAAAAAGAAGACAAAATATACAGAAGATTTAAACGAAATATTGTTTTCTCTTCCTAAACAGTGTCTTGTGTCGCGACACGTAGCAAAACTTGGCGATGGGCTGCAGTGGCAGTCCAAGCAGAACATTTGCCTCACTTTTGCACAGGAACGATAGTGCAGAGGAAATGCTATCTCAAAAATTAATTGGAGCATGGAATTGAATTTTGGCCAGATGATTGGTCACGAAAAGAAGACAAAATAGACAGAAGATTTAAATGAAATTTGGTTTTCTCTCCCTAAACAGTGTCTTGTATCGCAACACGTAGCAAAACTTGGCGATGGGCTGCTTTTGCAGTCAAAACAGAACATTTGCCTCACTTTGCACAGGAACGATAGTGCAAGAGGACATGCTATCTCAAAAATTAATTGGAGCATGGAATTGAATTTTGGCCAGATGATTGGTCACAAAAAGAAGACAAAATATTCAGAAGATTTAAACGAAATATGTTTTTCTCTTCCTTAACAGTGTCTTGTGTCGCGACACGTAGCAAAACTTGGCGATGGGCTGCAGTGGCAGTCCAAGCAGAACATTTGCCTCACTTTTGCACAGGAACGATAGTGCGAAAGGACATGCTATCTCAAAAATTAATTGGAGCATGGAATTGAATTTTGGCCAGATGATTGGTCACGAAAAGAAGAAAAAATTTACAGAAGATTTAAACGATCGTTTTCTCCCCCTAAACAGTGTCTTGTGTCGCGACACGTAGCAAAACTAGGCGATGGGCTGCAGTGGCAGTCCAAACAGAACATTTGCCTCACTTTTGCACAGGAACGATAGTGCAAAAGGACATGCTATCTCAAAAATTAATTGGAGCATGGAATTGAATTTTGGCCAGATGATTGGTCATCAGAAGAAGACAAACTAGACCGAAGATTTAAACGAAATATGGTTTTTCTCTCCCTAAAAGTGTCTTGTGTCGCGACACGGAGAACAACTTGGCGATGGGCTGCAGTGGCAGTCCAAACAGAACATTTGCCTTACTTTGCACAGGAACGATAGTGCAATAGGACATGCTATCTCAAAAATTAATTGGAGCATTGAATTGAATTTGGCCAGATGATTGGTCACAAAAAGAAGACAAAATATACAGAAGATTTAAACGAAATATTGTTTTTCTCTTCCTAAACAGTGTCTTGTGTCGCGACACGTAGCAAAACTTGGCGATGGGCTGCAGTGGCAGTCCAAGCAGAACATTTGCCTCACTTTTGCACAGGAACGATAGTGCAAGAGAGGACATGCTATCTCAAAAATTAATTGGAGCATGGAATTGAATTTTGGCCAGATGTTTGGTCACAAAAAAGAAGACAAAATATTCAGAAGATTTAAACGAAATATTGTTTTCTCTCTTCTTAACAGTGTCTTGTGTCGCGACACGTAGCAAAACTTGGCGATGGGCTGCAGTGGCAGTCCAAAGCAGAACATTTGCCTCACTTTTGCCACAGGAACGATAGTGCAAGAGGACATGCTATCTCAAAAATTAATTGGAGCATGGAATTGAATTTTGGCCAGATGATTGGTCATCAGAAGAAGACAAACTAGACCGAAGATTTAAACGAAATATGGTTTTTCTCTTCCTAACAGTGTCTTGTGTCGCGACACGTAGCAAAACTTGGCGATGGGCTGCAGTGGCAGTCCAAACAGAACATTTGCCTCACTTTTGTACAGGAACGATAGTCGAGTCGACACGCTCTCTCAAAAATTAATTGGAGCATTGAATTAAATTGTGGCCAGAGTGATTGGTCATGAAATGAAGACGAACTAAACAGAAGATATAAACGAAATATTGTTTTTCTCTCCCCAATTCACCAGTATTGATATTTTGTTATGGCGCCCTCTATCTTGTTTTGCCCATAATCACCGGCACCGTTATTTTGTTATGGCGCCCTCTATTGAAGTTAACTGTTGTAATCACCAGCACCGTACTTTTTTTATGGCGCCCTCTATGTAATTAACCCTGGTAATTGGGTAATTACCGGCACCGTTATTTTGTTATGGCGCCCTCTTTTTTTAGTTGCCCGTAATCACTGGCACCGTTGTTTTGTGATGGCGTAATTTATTGACTATTTCTGCTTCACCATCCTTCTTGATTTGTTACACTAGTGTCCGTAAAACATCACAAGCAATCAACAGACACAATTTTTTTAAAAAATACAAAACATGTTTTTGGAGCCGGCCCCAACCGAGTATTTTTGGGGGTTGAATGACAGAAAGTCATGACCTGACGCTATACATGTATTTATTTAATTGTTTGAAACATTTCCTTGATATCAATACTTTAATATAATATATTTTTAAACCATGACAAGCAATCAACAGACTATCAATTTTATACAACAGATGTTCCTTTATTTGTCCACGATCAGGGGAATATCGACACTCGTCAGAGGCTTAACAATTCTTTTTTATTGCACAATTGTATACAGCTTTTTTTTCTCTGGGAAAAATGGGGGACAAAGGTGTCTCTGATATTAAAATGGCGCTTGTACTATCTGTGATATTGAAACAGGCTTCATGCATAATTCATCATGAACAATGGTCAATGCAATAAAGTTTATATATTGCCCAATGATGATCGACTTATGATAGACCTATGATGATTTAATGATGTTGACTTATGATGACGTACGTGACTGACCTAAGACTTGTGATTGCCCTATGACTGAGTCATGATTGGCTTAACTGCCACTATAATGCTGAATAAAAAGAAAAAAAGGTTGATGCAGCTGAACTTCATGTCACCTCTCCGACTCGCACAAACTTCCAAACAAAACCCTGCGTCATTCCGTTGTTCTCCTGCCGACACTTCTCTGACAAATCAACCTTAAAATGTTCACAAGTCGGCGTTTGACTGGATGGTCTTGCAAGAATATCCGCCCTGGATCACCAATCAGAACCGTTGTACCAACATCAGCCAGATGCTTCAGCCAATCAGTGACTATGTCTGTGAAGTCCTTGTCATAGAACATGTCACCAAGGAGCACGACATCCCATTGGTTGTTTGACTGGCCAATCAGATTCCTGGAAGTGGTTGCCACGGTGACATCATTCAGCTCAGCATTGAGTTTGATGGTCTGTATTGAAACTGCAAAATGAATAAATGAATAAATGAATGAATAATCATATTCATGAGTTTATATGATAGTAATTATTAGCTCTCATATCTCCCAGGATTAAGCGCAACATCTCATTGGTTGCTGACAAGCCAATCAGTGGTTGGCATTCCGGTCAGCATTAGGTTGAGGGCCTGTATCGAAACTGGACAATGAATGGAGTGAATCAAGTAATAAATTGATTAATGAATAAATAAATCACAGCATACATTCATTTTTTTTTGGATAGCTCTCGTGAGGGTAGACTGGTTCCCAGTCCCTCCATCATCCATCGCAAATTCATATTCTAAAAGGGAGCAGGAGCCAGGCTATCATGAGGTAACAAGATGGTCATGAAGAGTCCGTACCTCTGTCAATGTCATTGGCAAGAACTGATCTGGCCCCGCCATAGATGCTGCGATGGGCACTCGCCCCACACCCACTTCCGACATCTAGGACATCCTTACCAGAGACGACACTTGGGTAGTCAAGAATGTACCTGCTTGAATTAAGATAAACAAAAAGGTCTTTTTTTTTCTTTTCTTTTTTGCATAATTGTTAAATTATGTTGGTTTATGCCTAAAATTACAAAAACCCCGCCCCAAAATAAAATTACTTTCAATTCCTAAAAACAAAAACTTTCTAAATTAATTTCTATTAATTTGTAAAAATTGTCCTATTTGTGTAATGTTTGCCATTTTTTCCCAAAACCATTCCCTTATATTTGTTTTCTCAGAAAGTCCAAAGGAATTGAAAATGAAAACCCAGTCTCAAAATTGATAATTTAACATTTCGTGGAAACCTCCCCCCCCTAAAAAAAACTTAGTCTAGAACTGCTCATCATCTGATAATAAAATGCTTGGGTACATCTTAGGAAGTTTGTAACCTTGTGCATTTCTTTGTTCCGACTGTGACATGATGTAGAGCTAAATTTTCCTTGATCATTTCACCCCTCTTGAACTTTGAAGTGATGTCCCTAATATTTTCTCAAAGTCTTTTGCTCAAGCTGAATTTTTCAGGCACCTTGTAAGTGCCTGACCTCCAGGCCAATAGAATGCCCAGAATGGATCGTCAATCCCATGATGCTGTAGGATATCAGAGCTCTGCTGGGCCGGGGCATCCCACAGTGGACAGGCGGGTGTCATCAGGCGCAGCGCAATCTCCGGGGTCAGGTGACTTCGGTCGACCTCCGTGTTGTCCAAGATGAACCGTTTTATGACGTCTTCGTCATTCTTACCAGCCCATTTTGGGACTGGTTACCATGGCGACAGGTTCTCCTCCCACTACTGCTCATCCTCCTTGTGGACAGTGGAGGCGAGTGGATGCAGTTGCCATGACAACTGATGGCACAGTTGAGCAGTTGTAAATTGGCTCTTTGGATTGCTGAACAGTTCAACTTCAAATTGTGGTGGTATCTGCAAAAACTGCTTCCTAACATGAAGTAACTCTTTGACATTCCTGACACTGGACAATGACAGAAATATTTTCTTTACCGTGCCTACCCTAGCCCGCCCTCTCTGTTCAACCCGGACCAGGATCCAGGAAGTTGAGCTCAGCAGGCACTTCCGGGTTCTGAACTTTGAGACGTACCATTATTCAAATAGGGAAATAAATTAATTACTGGAAAAAAAGTGTTGTGAAGAAAATATTCACCTGCTGATAGTGAGAATAATGGCACAAAAATATGGTATATACATGGCTGAGAGCGTTAAAACAGTTTGATAGTGATGACAAATTAAAGTTATATGGTTGAATGAAATAAACATGGCGTTGACGATCGAATACTAGCACCCCCAAATAATAAGTTGACTCCAAGTTGGAAAACAGTTGCGAAGTTTCAAGCGTACGTGCATACGGTGACACTTGTTGGATCTAAAATCATCTAAAAAGTTTCGAAAATGATAAATATGCATAACAGTTGAATTTTTAAAACAATACTACTGACGTTTGTTTTTTTCGGAGGACACTTTCCTGAGTCGGTTTAGAATTACGAGCAGGGATGGATAAGAATGAATATGTGAAACGGTGGCTGTGGCACGCTTTCAATGGATGGATAGCGAAGGAACGGCGATCCGCAACAACTCAAGGTAAGGCCTTCTGAGAAAGGTTCTTTGGTAGGGGCGGTCATGGTGGGGGGGGGGGGGCGATCGTGAAGTGTAGGGCCCCTGTTTTGTTTTGATCAAATTAGAGTTCAAAAATATTTTTTATTGCTCAAAATCACCT